GATCGAAGATCGAGGATCGACCCAAGATCGGGGATCGATCGAGGATCGAGAATTGATCGGGGATCAAGGATCGATGGAGGATCGTTCAATCGATCGAGGATTGATCGAGGATCGAGGGTCTTGGGAAGCAGCTCCGCGGAGGTCTTCGAGACCACTTAAAGGTAGATTTGACATTTATGGTTTTAAGTTTTTTTTGTTCGAGGGGGTCGGGGGAGACGCTTCCTCTAGCCTTTTAGGGGGCGTCTGGGTGGGAACCCTCCTGTCCACTCCGAAACCTCCCGAAATGGAAGGATTTTGAAAGCGGGGGGGTCCCAAGGGGGACAAGCCTTCGCTTTTGATGAGGGCTGGGGGAAGACGCCCCCTAACCCCGCCAACAGCAGCTTGGCGTTGTTGTTGGGAAGGGATCAGTTCGCGGGCGCTCCGACGGCAAAAGTTTCGACGGGGGTCGCCCAGGAAATATCTGACAACCATACTAGCATACGTATGTGCAACCATTCAGGTCCCCCAACACGAAAGGCCAGCGGGGAATGTATCAGTCGGTGGGCGGTGTAGGAGTAATAGGAGCAGTACTGGTCGAAATAGTAGTAGTAGTAGTAGTAGTAGTAGTAGTAGTAGTAGTCGTAGTAGTAGTAGTAGTAGTAGTAGTAGTAGTAGTAGTAGTAGTAGTAGTAGTAGTAGTAGTAGTAGTAGTAGTAGTAGTCGTAGTAGTAGTAGTAGTAGTAGTAGTAGTAGTAGTAGTAGTAATAGTAGTAGCAGTAGTAGTAATAGTAGTAATAGTCGTCTTCGTAGTAGTAGTAGTAGTAGTAGTAGTAGTAGTAGTAGTAGTAGTACTAGTAGTAGTAATAGTAGTAGTAGTAGTAGCAGCAGTAGTAGAAGTAGTCGACGGCGTAGTCGTCGTCGTCGTAGTAGTAGTAGCAGTAGTAGTAGCAGTAGTAGTTTGTCGTAGTAGTTGTAGTAGTAGTAGTAGTAGTAGTAGTAGTAGTAGTAATAGTAGTGGTAGTAGTAGTAACTAGTAGTAGTAGTGGTGGTGGTGACGGTGGCAGTAGAAGAAGAAGAAGTAGTAGTAGTAGTAGTAGTAGTAGGAGTAGTAGTAGTAGTAGTGGTAGCAGTAGCAGTAGTAGTAGTAGTCGTCGTAGTAGTAGTAGTAGTAGTAGTAGTAGTCGTCGTAGTAGTAGTAGTAGTAGTAGTAGTAGTAGTAGTAGTAGTAGTGGTAGTAGTAGTAGTAGTCGAACTACAAGTCATGTTGGTACTAGTAGAAGAAGACTACGACATCATATCAATACTAGAGGTACAACCACGAAAAGATGGGACGAATGAAGCGTGCATGCAGCGATTCCAAAGCGTATGTGGAGCGTACATGAGAAGCAACCGGTACGCACTTGAAACGTAACTGCTGACGCAACACTTATGATGCGTGTATTATACGCCAATGAAACGTATATGGAACATTCGAGAAACGAAAATGAACATTACATGAACCTCATATGCCGCGTATACGGCACATATGACACGCACGCAAAACGTTAGCGAAACGCGTACGCAACGTACACCGACACACACGATCGTACACGATACGTTTACGAACCGTATGCTAAACGCGTGCGGGACCTATGTGAGACGTGGACGATATGTATATGGAGCGTATACGCAACGTGTACGGCACGACCACCAATCGCACACACCTAACATACGAATTGTTTACGACACATGTGCGGAACGCGCGTGGGACGAGCACGGAACGTATGCAACAACAACAACTCTACAACACGCAAGGGCATACATACACAATGTATATTCAAAAAAACACAAACCAACATACAACCAACGACGTGTACACCACGTATCAGAATCACGCCCGCTACGTACACAAAACGCATGCAACAACGATGCAATACGTATACGCGTCGCTACAAACACGACGATGGCACGTATCGACCACGAAGCAACACACATCATACGACACGACCACGACACTCATTCGCAACGTCGACCAAACGCGTCCAACACTACTACGACACTCAAGTTCACAACACACAACTCGTGTCCCTGAGGACGCGCCTGAGGAGCCTGAGGGAATTCAAAATAAAAACACGAGCACCCCTGAGGACGCCTGAGGGCGTTCAGGTACTACTAGTCGGTTCCTCACGATCCCAAACGGATCCCTGAAGAGCCCGAACGATTCCAAAGGATTCGCGCACACTCCTGAGAATCCCAACCATCATTTCCCGACAAAACCGAAAACTTCCCGATGATTCATCGAGATTCCTGGGGACTCTTAGAGCTTCTTGGGGATCCCTAAAGATTCCGAAGGACTCCAAACTATCCCTGTGGGGTCCTACAGATTCCTGGGGATTCGTGAGGACGCCTGGGTGTTCCCGAGGGCTCCTGCCAAGGAGCGCCTTAGAAGCTGCCAAGAGGCGCACCAAACGCAGCCAATGAGCGCGCGGGAAGCTGCTCAGGCTCGCCTTAGAGGCTGCCAAGGGGCGCCTTGGAAGCTGCCAGGGAGCGCCTCAGAAGCTGCCAAAGAGCGCCTTCGAAGCTGCCATGCGTTGGAAGTTGCCGCAGATCGTCTTCTCAGGGACGTACCCACCCCCTTGAAACCATATTGCGGCTGCATACATGACCGCTCCGTACAAACGAAATCGCTAAATTACCTACAGTGGGCAGGAGCATTCAAGAATGAGATCTGAAGAGCGCGGCAGCGGAAGCAACGACAACCCCCAAAACATGGAAGCAAAACTATACTGTGAGGCAAAAGCCCGAAAAGTGGATCCAAAAGGGAGCGGCAGCGAGAGCAACGACAAGCAGAGCAAGGCAACGCAAGCAACCAGAAACAACGCAAGCAACCCATGAAAGTGGCGACAGTTTCGCAGTTCCCAGCTGCGAGGTTTCGACTGGCGTACAACTCCACTCTGCTGGACCTCCGAGGAGCCCACGAGAGTGGCGACCTTTGCGCACTTCGACACTTCGAACTCCCCAGAGATCCGCGAGGTCTCGATTGGGTATGCGTACAAACCCACTGGGTGTGCGTAGAACTCCGCTCCGCTGGACCTCCCAGGAGCCCAGGTGGGGAGGATCGTGGGCTTCCCCTCGCCGTGCTTCCAACACCCAGATTTTGGACCCCCCCCCTTGAAAAAACGAATATCTCCTTGAAAAGGGGGGTGGGGGGTTTGGGGGAGGTCCCCCCAGACCCCACCCCAACAAAAACCCTTAGGGGGAGGGGGTGGGGGGGTCGGGGAGGGCTTCAACCCTCTCAGGGAGAATCACACCACTCGCCAGTCGACGCTGAATCGATGCCAATCAACGCGAAATCGGCGCTCTCCCATCGACTACCAGACGCCAGCGCACGCGAATGCCCTCAACAGATTGAGCTTCGAGGACACGCAGAAGCCTTTTCTGGCCACGACGAGCCTCGGCCACGGGACCCGCCCCCCGACCTGATCCCAGGAGCGGCACGAAAACCAGAGCCTGGGCCCAGCCTGGGCCCCAAGCGCTCCTTACTTCGCCGCCTCGGCTGCATACTTCACCGCCTTGGCTGCATCGCCGTCGGGCCGACAGCCTGGGCGCACCGCCAACTGCATGCCCGAGCCTGCCCCAGGCATGGCCCGCCGTGCTTCCTGCTCCGAGGGCTCTCCGGCCGCCTGCGGCCCTCTGAGAGGGCCGCGGGCGGCCGGAGCTCCCTGGAGGTCACCGCGCGTGTGGGGGCTGTACCGGCATGAGGCGGGGGAGGAGGCACAGGGAGAGAGGGCCGCTCTCCTCCTGTGCCTCCCGCCGCCTGTCTGCCCCTGTCTCGCCATCGCTCGGACGTCCAACCCCCGTGCATGTTTCGAGTTCGTGCGTGCGTTTTCGCGCAAGGCGCTCCAAGATGCTCCTCGGCGCCTCGACGGCTTTCGCCGAGACAAGAGGCACACGCCCGAGCGATGCCAAGCCGCACCCAACTAGCGCAACAGCAGCCCAGCTAGTGCGCCTCGGACCCGAGATGCCCCAGACCTCCGGCGCTCCTTGCTTTTTCTTCCACGCGTGGGCCCTCAGAGGCCCGGACAACTGGCCCGGGGCCGGCCTTCCGTCCTGAATCGCTGTCTGGCGCTCCGTGGGCCCGCGGAGGGCCCCCGAAGGCCGTGCACGGCCAAGACCCGGCCGCCCCAAGCTGTGCGGCGCCTCAGACCTCTGGGGCCGCCGATCAGACACAAGACCGGTCTCGTCGTCGTCTGAGGAGCGGGAGAGACACACAAACTGTCGGACTTCAAGGTCTTCAGTGGCCCCATCGGCTGGCCCCGTCCCCAGATAGCTTGATCCGAAGACGATTGCCTTGTTCACCGACGCCTCGCCCGTCGCCTCCAGGGGTACATCGTCTATGCGTTCGCCCAGACGGGGGTCGGGGGTGGGCCTAGGATCTTTCAAATTCTGGGCCCTGCAAACTCTCCTGGGCGAGGGGCATGCAAACTTTTCCGCCGCCTCATCTTCCAGGCACTGTGCAATTTCTCGGGGCTGCTAATGCACTGTGCGTTCTTCGGGAGCGGCCAAGAGGGGGGGTGTCAAAGAGGGGGGGGTGCAAATCATGACCGGCGGCATGTGCGCGGCCCAGCGGGGGGGCCAGGGACGTAATGAAATGAGAAGCGGCGCCATGAAATCTGGGAACTATCATGGCCCACGCCATGAGATCCACCCCCCCCCCTAGTCATCCCCCCCCCTCTTTGCCGCCCCCGAGTTCTGGCCATGTAAACTCTTTCGGGGCCCCGCACGGCGATTCCTGGCTGGGCCTGGGCGGGGCGACGCCCAGGAAAAAGGAGCGGGGGGCCCTGCGACTGTCGGCCGCGGGCTTTCTGGCCACACTCCACCCCATGGAGCTCGGCCACAGACCCGCTGCACGGGCGGAGCAGAAGGCCGCGCCGAGGGTAGGCGGAACGGGGCAGGGAGGGGCAGGGCAAAGGCTTCTTCCGGCTGCCCGAGTTTGCCTTTGTGCGTGTTTTCCTGGTCCTGATCGTCGGCGTCGTCGTCGCCTGCGTCGTCTGGCCCCAGGTGTCGGCGTCGGCATCGTCGTCGTCGTCGTCGTCGTCGTCGTCGGCGGCGGCGGCGGCGGCGGCGGCCGCGGCGGCGTCCGTGTTGGCGTCGGCGTCGGAATCGCCAGCGTCGACGTCGTCGGCGGCGTCGTCGTCGGCGTCGGCGTCGGCGCGGGCGTCGGCGGCGACGTCGACGTCGACGTCGACGTCGGCGTCGGCGTCGGCGTCGTCCGGCCTCTGGTGGCGCGCCGACGGTGGCCCCGAGCGCGCGGCCCAGGCGCAGCCGCTCGGCGGCGGCGGCCTCCGCGCGCACGTTCGCGCGCGCGCGCGGGCCACGCCGCGCCGCCGCGGCGCGGCGGCGCGGCGGAGGGCCTCCGCTCGAGGATCGAGCTTCGAGGATCGGGGATCGGGGCTCAAGGATCGGGGCCTGGGGTTCGGGGATCAGGGAGCGAGGCTCGAGCATCGAGGTGCGAGCACCGAGGTGCGAGCGCGAATCGAGGCTCTGGGGTCGAGGTTCGGGGAGCGAAGTTCGCGGCGGCGGCGCGGGGGAGAGACTCCGCTCGAGGGCCGGGGCAGCAAGCAGAGTATCGATGGCACGCCGGGCCGCGGGAAGCCCATCGGCGTTGGGGCAAAAGCGGAGCATCACCAGGAAGCTGGAAGCACACGTGGCTGCATTCACATGTGGAACATCTGGAGGCCTCGCGCTGGGTACACGTGCGGAAGCCCTGCGTGCAAGGGTCTAGAAGGGCCGAGCGCTGGAGAGGCAGGTGACCACACCTGTATCCAGCTCTCGCCCAGGCTGGCCGCGTCATATTTTATCCCGCTTCCCGGTAAGACGCTGACGGGCTCCCGACAGCAGCGTGTCGTGGATACTCGTCTTCCTTCCCGGATGATCGGGGATCGAGCGTCGGGGTTGGGGGCTCGGGGTTCGAGGGTCGGGGTCTGGGGATCGAAGTCCGACGAATCGATAGGGGATCGAGGCTCGACGAATCTCGAGGTTCGGGGGGCGCCTTTTGTCCCCCCCTGGGGCCTCCAGGGGTGGGGGCTTCTCCTCGCAATCGCGGAGGTTCCCGAGTCCCTGGGATCGTGAGCTCGAGGAGCCGGCGCAGACTCAAAAATCAGCCTGAGCAGCCCTGTCTGCCAAGGCGGGGTCGTACAATCGGACCTGGGACAGAAGAACGTGAGACCCTTCGCCGACCGAACTGAAGAACATTCGATCGAGGGTACACTCCCCCAGGATTTGTTGATTGATTCCCCATCGAGCTCGCAGCATGCTGCACTAAGGTCTGTGCGTGCGCCCGGGGCCTCAGGCTTACAGCCTGGTTGTCTCTCACTACGTGGTGTTCTCTGCGCCCGTCGCTCTCTTCCCAAGGTTACTACTGCACCGAGGGGCGCAGGCGGTGCGCCGGCCAGCCTCGCTGAATACCAGCCCGCACTGGGCAAGCTAACTCAAGCCTTCAACGTTCGAACCATTGCGCCCGTGGGGGCCCGTCCCGGTTTGTTCTGCCAGCCCATGGCCCTGAGGACCCTATACAACGCGAAATCGACCTACGTGACCTTCCCTGGGCAAAGGCTGGCCTCAGAAAGCTCGAGGGGGCACGCTTGAATGACTGCGCCTGCCGCGGCCTTGTCCTCGGGACTGCTGTCCTTGGATTGCACCACGGCCCATGCGGCCTCCGCGTCCACGAGGAGCTTCTCCGCCCCCGCCTCGTCGCGAAGGACAGACACCGAGCCGAGGGTCTTGAGCGTCAAGCGGGACACTCCGCTGTCGTGGGTGCCGCTCAGGTCGCACTGCTTCACCCACACTCCCCCAGGATGCACAAGAACATCCAACGAACACGGAAAACATGAGTGTGCTTCCCCCAAGCCGACCCAAATCTGATACCTCGGTCAAACCGTACGGTCGGAAGGCCATCTTAGAGACAGACACTGAGAGCTGAGCCGAGACCGACAAAACGTGCGGCCATGACGAGGCAAGATGCGGCACATGTGCCACACTGACTGTAGTTCCAACGACAGACTTTGAATGCCATCAGCCACCATTCCGTAGTTTGTGTAAGGGAGCTTATGCACTTGATGATCTATGCCTTGCTGAAGGGTTGCCCTCGTCAGGAATCTCGCAAAACCACACCCTGCAACAGTGGTATGGTCGCGCCACGTTTCCAGGAATGCCCTGAGCGGAGATGATGCGAATTCCGAAATACAACTCCACTCAAAAGCAGAATAGCACAGGACCGAAGCTGAAGCTATACTCAAGGGCCCTGGGAACGAACATGTGGATCATCACGCTCTTGCGAACCTTCTCTGTGCCAAACACAAACGTTAGCCAGCGTCCCAATGTTTCGAGCAATACACGGTCTGCAACCGATGCGGGACAACCAATGTGGTGCAATCTACGTAGTGCAAGCTGCGTGGTTCAATTTATGGTATAAAATCCACTCTGCTGAACTTGAAGTCGTCATCCCCACTGCTCGCGCAAACATCCCACCCACCCACCCGCAACTTGGTTTGCAAAACCTGTTAAGACCGACTACGACGACACCGACGACAACGACTAGAACGACACCGACGACGTCTCCGACGACTTCGACGACGACAACGACGCCGACGCCGACGACGACGAAGACGACGACGACGCCAACGAAGGCGACGACGAGGGAGGAGGAAGGACGACGACGGCGACAACGACGACAACGACGACAACGACGAGGGAGGAGGGAGGACGGCGACGACGCGAACGACGACGAAGGAGGAAGGACGGCGACGCCGACGACGACAACGACGAGGGAGAAGGGAAGACGACGACGACAACGAGGACGACGACGGCGACGAAATAGGAGGGACGACGACGAGACGCCGACGACGGACGACGACGACGACGACGGGAGGGAGGAGGAAGGACGACCACGGCGACAACGACGACGGAAACGACCACGACGCCAAAGAGGACGACGACGACGAACACGAGAAAAGACAGAGGACGACGTAGGCGACGACGATGACGACGCGGGAGGAGGGAGGACGGCGACGACGACGACGACGACGACGACGCTAGAGCGCGCGCGCGCACGCTTTTGTTGAACATCCGTGTTGCGAACCCTTGGGTTTTTGTGAATTTTTTGGACGCACGATTTTGAAATCCTTTCCCAACCGATGGGTTTTGAAGGTTTTCGGCATACTCCCGCGACGACGCGCGCGTCTGCACTCCGTCCCATTTTTTGCAGAGGGTCCTCGCGACAGCACACGCGCAAGGGCGTTCGACAGATTTCGACATGCGCGCGCGAAGCCCGTTTGGTAGCATTTTGTGAAAATCTTGAAAAACCTACGGTTATCTTAAGATGTTGCAAGAGCTCGCGCGGAAGTTTTTGTTAGCAAATGAGTGTTGCGAAACCATGTGTTTTTGTATGCGTTTTGGAAACTCGATTGCGAAACCCTTCCCGCACCGAATGACTTTGAAGGATTTCGGCATGCGCGCGCGACGACGCGCGCGCGTGCGCACTTCGTCCCATGGTTTGCAAGGGATTCGTGAAAAAGTGCGATGATAGAACAAAAAATGTCACCGCATAGTGTTTTTTTGGTTACAAGGGAACCTCAGGGGGGGGGGCCCGGCCTGGCTGGGATGATATGATTTCATATCCCACCAGCCCTCTGGGCGTAGGTGGTCTAGAGCAGATCCTCTTCCACCCCTCCCTCTTCCCCCTTGGGGAAGGGTTTACCCCTCCCCCTACCCCCTCCCCTGGACGGGGGGGGCCGCGGCGCGCTGGAGCGTCCAAGGTGGCCAAATATGGCTTCAAAAGCGCCTCAGAGAGCCCAAGATGAGCTCCAAGACGGTCAGAGATAGCGCAAGATCGCTGACGATGGCTTCCAAGATGCTCCAAGAGGCCCCAAGATGATCCCAAGACGGCTCCAAGTGGCCAAAGAGCTCCCTAAGGAGGCCCCGACGAGGCCAACATCGCCCCCAAACCTGAGGGAAAACAATGTGTTTTGCGTTCTCGCCTTTTCGCTTCCGATGGACATCCGAGGCCTCAATATGGCTCCAAGATGGCCCAAAAGGGCCCCACAAGAGGCCCAACAGAGCCCCAAGACGGCCCCCAAAGCGCCCAAGAGCGCTCCAAGAGCGCTCCAAGAGGGGCCCAAGAGGCGATTTATGGGGCTCCCGCGGGGGGAGGCTAATTGGAGCTCCCCTCTTGTTTGATCGATCTCCTCCAAGATGGCCCCAAGAGCGCCCCTACAGCCCCCAAGAGCGCCCCAAGAGCGCCCCAAGAGGCGCCAAGACGTCCCCAAAAGGCGCCCAAGAGGCCTCCAAGAGGATCCCAGGAGACCCCCAAGAAGCCTCAAGAGGATTTCCGAAAAAAGGCATTCAAGACGCTTCTGGCTCTTCGGTTCGCCGTCCTCTTCCTCTTCCTCTTCCTCAACCACCTCTTCCTCTTCCTCCCTCCTCCTCCTCATCCCCCTCCTCCTCCTTCTCCTCCCTCCCTCTGCTCCTTATCCTCCTTCTCGTCCTCCTCGTCCTCGCCCTACTCCATATCCTCCTCATTCTCCTCCTCCTCCTCCTCCTCCTCCTCCTCCTCCTCCTCTTCCTCCTCCTCCTCCGACTCCGACGACGACGGTTCCTCTTCCATCCTCCCCCTCTCGGGGTCTGTGACAGCTTCCCCCGCCCTTTGTTATTCTGCCTGCTCCCCGACTTCCCTGATCACCTCAACTCCCCTGAGCATCGTTTCTGGATGGGCTGGTGGGGATACTTTTTTTTGTTTTTGATCAGCGGCCCGCAAGGAAGAGTCCAGAGGGCGTGTCTATCGGGCTGACTGGAGAACAGAGCCAGATAATTAGCGAACACCGCTGTCAGTGTCGACAGCCAGTCGCACGTGCGAGCATGCAGAACATTAGCGAACCCAGCCGTCACTGTCGACAGCAAGAGGGGGGACTATGAACAGCGCCGATTAAAAGCAAACTCGGCCGCCAATGAAGCCAGCCAGCCGCGCAGTGTCAAACGGGCTGGCACGGGCACAGCGCCAGAAAATTCGGTGCGGGCATGCAGAAAATTGGAGCTCAGCCGTCGCTGTCGACGGCCGACCTCAACACAGCGGGCGAACCGGGCAGAGGCGGGCCTGGAGGGCAGCGGCCGTCGCAGTGGACAGCGAGACGCAGACCACTGGGCAGACTGAACCACGAACCCAAATAGTTGAGACCAGCCATCACTTTAGACGGCCGACCGGCATGCACCGTTCAAGGCACCAGCACGTCGGGCCGGGCGGCGCTGAGCGGGGCGAAAAGGAAGACAGAGGAGAAAGTGGGGGCATCACTCACTGGGCACCGCGTGCTCAAAGGCCTTCCCTGACACAGGCGGCGATAGACATGGCGTGAGCCCAACGTGGCAACTGACACCCATCGGACAGGGAACCGTCGACGAAAGGTAGCAGCCACTGAACAAGAGGACCAGTTGCTGGGCACGTCGAGTGGACAGTAGGGTGGGCCTTGGGCCGGCGCCCTCCAGCTTCCCAGACGGACACCAGCGAGGAAGGGCCCAGATCGGGAACGGGCCAGTGCTCCAATCGCCGGAACCGCCAGCGCCGCTCGGGCATGCCCACACGCCACAGTGGGACCTATGCGCAGTGCTGTGTGAGGTACACCTCGCCCCCAGGAGGTGCCACTAGGGTATTAGGCCGGAGCCACACTGCGGTGAACCACGCCTGACCGACTGACGGCCACCAAGATGGCGTAGACCAGTGACCCCTGCTAGGGGCGTGCCTGTGAGCGTCACACGTAGTCGGCCCACCACCGCGGTCGTCGAGGGCGTCAGGAGGGAGGGGGGAGGTGCAGCCGAGAGCCGCATGACATTTGAACACACAAGGAGGAGGAGCCATGCAGTGGCGACGTCTGTCGAGTACCCAACACTCGGAGTCGGTATGTCGTGGCGTGTACGCGAAGCGTCAACAATTTGAGTGCTCGTAGATCACCACGCGACAGGCGTCCGAATGGATGTACAGAGATGAATACTGGTCGTTATGGCTGCTGCCAACCCAACCATGCGAACCGACCCCGTATGTGGCAGAGAAGCCACCGCCACAGCCATGCTGATACATCGTCACAGCACAAGTGGCACCGTTGCTGCTGTTGCTGCTGTGCGACTCGACCCCGCCGCCGCCTCCTCATCGCTCACGGCACTGCCGTTTGGCACGCTCGTCGCCCGCTGCATACCAGAAACTCCGCGCAGCCCGAGAACCACGGGGAGCCAACCCTTGACTGCCATTGGGGCGACGCTGACACGCTGTCTGATAGCGCAAAGTAGGGTACGGTAAGACTGTGAACCGAATGGGACATGATCCGCACGGCTTGAGCCAAAATGGCTACGGAGGGGCCTCTTGGGCCGTCTTGGAGCGGTCTGGGGAGGGTGGGAAGCGGTGCTGTCAGAATGGAGGCGCTGGGGATGCTGCCGAAATACTTTGGGCAAGAAGCGGGGAAACGGAACGAGACGCGACTCCGAGACGAAACGCACGAGAGAAGGGCGAGAACGTGCTCTGGAAGAGCGCTTTTTGAGCACGCTGGGTGATGGCCCCCGGGTCAGCAGGTCGTCGACCACAAATTTGGGTGCCGGGGCGCTTGAGGGGCTCCGGAGGCGTAGAAAACGGAGCCAGGAAGCGCCAAGAGATACCAAAGACGCTCCAAGAGGGTCTCGAGACGCCTGAAGGTCGCTCCAAGACGCCCAGGGTGGCTCCCAGACGGCCTGGTAGACCTCAAACACGTTCCAAGAAGTCTCCACGAGGCCTTTCCACAGAGGCCCAAGAGGGGGGAAAATCATAGTACCATTATTGTCTAGTGGCATACGGCCCATCCCTCCACCGTGCTTGGGTTGTGGGTTAGAAGCCTCGTGGATGTTCGTGGGGATATCGTAAAAAGACTGTCGAGAGCTTCTAAGAAGTAGTTTTGAAGCCTCTTGATGGCCGTTTGGCGGCCTCTTGGGGCGTCCTGTGGGCGGGGCCTCGTGGGGCCTCTTAGGGGCCTCGTGGGTCCTCTCGGGGGCCTCGTGGAACCTCCAGGGCGGCGTCCTGGGGCGAAACGCTCGAATTGTGGGTTCGTGTTCCCCTCTCTTGGGCCCCTCTTGGGGCCGTCTTGGGGCTCTCTTCTTGGGCCGTCTTGGACGCCTCCTGGGACCCCTTGAGGGCCTCTTGGGCCGCGTATATATATATATATATATATATATGTGTGTGCATATATATATATATAATGTTTTCTATAGCAAAAATGTCGATGTGGAATCAAGCAGAACGTGCGAGCTGGCTAATGTGATAGCCTCGCGCGGAAATTAACACTAGCGTCCCAACCCGCCCTAAGGGGAGGAGGAGGAGGAGGAGGAGGAGGAGGAAGGAGGAGGAGGAGGAACAGGGGAGGGAAACAGTGGAGGAGGGAGTGGCGACAGCAAGACGAGGGCAGGGCGCCTCATGCAAAGCTTGCTTCTGCGACGGAGAAGAGGTGCGCACTTTGCTCATTCAGGCCAGATACGTGAAGAAGCGATGCACGGTGGACACATTCCTCCGCGGGCGTCGCTGCCTCCTGATGATCATCCTCTCCCAGCAATCCTCCGACATCGAATCCAGCATGCCCAAGGTGCTTGACGTAGAAGTTCAAGTAAGTGATGCCCTGCTGCGTGTGTCCATGCGCAACTTTGATTTGCACCTTCCCAAACATTAACCACTTCGGACTTTCGTCGGACACAACCTGAGCTTGAAATCGGAGACCGCCGGCATGCTTCTCCTCCACCCACGACCCCGTCACGTTCAAGTCTTGAAAATACATGTCAGTGCATTGTCCACCCAATTGACTCGCCTCGGCCTCTACACGAAGCATAACATTCTTCTGCCTTCCACGAGGGATGTTGATCAGAACGTGGTTGCCTGGCTTCATCAAATCGAACCTCTGACCCAGAACATTTGCCAGGTGGGGATCGCCAGTGGCAGCCACACCGCCAGCTGCGCCCGCCATGGGAGCTCCAGGAGGAAACGTCGGCTGTGGCGTCGGCCATCCTGGAGGATACGTCGGGCTAGGCGTCGGGCTGGGCGTTGGGAAGGACGTCGGGAAAGGCGTCGGGTAGGCGTGGGGAAGGCCGTCGGGTACGCCGTCGGGTATGGCGTCGGATCGGGTATCGGGTACGGGTATGGGTACGGCGTCGGGTATACTCGGTCGGGTCGGGTATGGCGTCGGGTACGGCGTCGGGTAGGCGTCGGGTACGGCGTCGGGTAGGCCGTCCGTCGGGTACGGCGTCGGGTACGTCGGATGGCGTCGGGTAAGGCCGTCGGGTACACCGTCGGGTATGGCGTCGGCGTCGGGTACGGCGTCGGGTATGGCGTCGGGTACGGAGTCGGGTACGTCGGAGATGGCGTTGACGTGTCGTACACTCTCAATGAGCTCACTTGATCGTTGCCACACACTCCATGACAACCAACGCCCTCGTAGGAGCAAGCCCAGCCGTAAAAATTTGAGTGCTCGTAGATCACCACGCGACAGGCGTCCGAATGGATGTACAGAGATGAATACTGGTCGTTATGGCTGCTGCCAACCCAACCATGCGAACCGACCCCGTATGTGGCAGAGAAGCCACCGCCACAGCCATGCTGATACATCGTCACAGCACAAGTGGCACCGTTGCTGCTGTTGCTGCTGATGCGACTCGACCCCGCCGCCGCCTCCTCATCGCTCACGGCACTGCCGTTTGGCACGCTCGTCGCCCGCTGCATACCAGAAACTCCGCGCAGCCCGAGAACCACGGGGAGCCAACCCTTGACTGCCATTGGGGCGACGCTGACACGCTGTCTGATAGCGCAAAGTAGGGTACGGTAAGACTGTGAACCGAATGGGACTTGATCCGCACGGCTTGAGCCAAAATGGCTACGGAGGGGCCTCTTGGGCCGTCTTGGAGCGGTCTGGGGAGGGTGGGAAGCGGTGCTGTCAGAATGGAGGCGCCGGAGATGCTGCCGAAATACTTTGGGCAAGAAGCGGGGAAACGGAACGAGACGCGACTCCGAGACGAAACGCACGAGAGAAGGGCGAGAACGTGCTCTGGAACGCTTTTTGAGCACGCTGGGTGATGGCCCCCGGGTCAGCAGGCCGTCGACCACAAATTTGGGTACCGGGGCGCTTGAGGGGCTCCGGAGGCGTAGAAAACGGAGCCAGGAAGCGCCAAGAGATACCAAAGACGCTCCAAGAGGGTCTCGAGACGCCTGAAGGTCGCTCCAAGACGCCCAGGGTGGCTCCCAGACGGCCTGGTAGACCTCAAACACGTTCCAAGAAGTCTCCACGAGGCCTTTCCACAGAGGCCCAAGAGGGGGGAAAATCATAGTACCATTATTGTCTAGTGGCATACGGCCCATCCCTCCACCGTGCTTGGGTTGTGGGTTAGAAGCCTCGTGGATGTTCGTGGGGATATCGTAAAAAGACTGTCGAGAGCTTCTAAGAAGTAGTTTTGAAGCCTCTTGATGGCCGTTTGGCGGCCTCTTGGGGCGTCCTGTGGGCGGGGCCTCGTGGGGCCTCTTAGGGGCCTCGTGGGTCCTCTCGGGGGCCTCGTGGAACCTCCAGGGCGGCGTCCTGGGGCGAAACGCTCGAATTGTGGGTTCGTGTTCCCCTCTCTTGGGCCCCTCTTGGGGCCGTCTTGGGGCTCTCTTCTTGGGCCGTCTTGGACGCCTCCTGGGACCCCTTGAGGGCCTCTTGGGCCGCGTATATATATATATATATATATATATATATATATGTGTGTGTGCATATATATATATGTTTTCTATAGCAAACATGTCGATGTGGAATCAAGCAGAACGTGCGAGCTGGCTAATGTGATAGCCTCGCGCGGAAATTAACACTAGCGTCCCAACCCGCCCTAAGGGGAGGAGGAGGAGGAGGAGGAGGAGGAGGAGAAGGAGGAGGATGAGGAACAGGGGAGGGAAACAGTGGAGGAGGGAGTGGCGACAGCAAGACGAGGGCAGGGCGCCTCATGCAAAGCTTGCTTCTGCGACGGAGAAGAGGTGCGCACTTTGCTCATTCAGGCCAGATACGTGAAGAAGCGATGCACGGTGGACACATTCCTCCGCGGGCGTCGCTGCCTCCTGATGATCATCCTCTCCCAGCAATCCTCCGACATCGAATCCAGCATGCCCAAGGTGCTTGACGTAGAAGTTCAAGTAAGTGATGCCCTGCTGCGTGTGTCCATGCGCAACTTTGATTTGCACCTTCCCAAACATTAACCACTTCGGACTTTCGTCGGACACAACCTGAGCTTGAAATCGGAGACCGCCGGCATGCTTCTCCTCCACCCACGACCCCGTCACGTTCAAGTCTTGAAAATACATGTCAGTGCATTGTCCACCCAATTGACTCGCCTCGGCCTCTACACGAAGCATAACATTCTTCTGCCTTCCACGAGGGATGTTGATCAGAACGTGGTTGCCTGGCTTCATCAAATCGAACCTCTGACCCAGAACATTTGCCAGGTGGGGATCGCCAGTGGCAGCCACACCGCCAGCTGCGCCCGCCATGGGAGCTCCAGGAGGAAACGTCGGCTGTGGCGTCGGCCATCCTGGAGGATACGTCGGGCTAGGCGTCGGGCTGGGCGTTGGGAAGGACGTCGGGAAAGGCGTCGGGTAGGCCGTGGGGAAGGCAGTCGGGTACGCCGTCGGGTATGGCGTCGGATACTGCGTCGGGTACGGCGTCGGGTAGGCCGTGGGGAAGGCCGTCGGGTACGCCGTCGGGTATGACGTCGGATACTGCGTCGGGTACGGCGTCGGGTATGGCGTCGGGTACGGCGTCGGGTATGGCGTCGGGTACGGCGTCGGGTAGGCCGTGGGGAAGGCCGTCGGGTACACCGTCGGGTATGGCGTCGGGTACGGCGTCGGGTAGGCCGTGGGGAAGGCCGTCGGGTACACCGTCGGGTGTGGCGTCGGATACGGCGTCGGGTACGGCGTCGGGTACGGCGTCGGGTATGGCGTCGGGTACGGAGTCGGGTATGGCGTCGGAGATGGCGTTGACGTGTCGTGCACTCAATGAGCTCACTTGATCGTTGCCACACACTCCATGACAACCAACGCCCTCGTAGGAGCAAGCCCAGCCGTAAAAATTTGAGTGCTCGTAGATCACCACGCGACAGGCGTCCGAATGGATGTACAGAGATGAATACTGGTCGTTATGGCTGCTGCCAACCCAACCATGCGAACCGACCCCGTATGTGGCAGAGAAGCCACCGCCACAGCCATGCTGATACATCGTCACAGCACAAGTGGCACCGTTGCTGCTGTTGCTGCTGATGCGACTCGACCCCGCCGCCGCCTCCTCATCGCTCACGGCACTGCCGTTTGGCACGCTCGTCGCCCGCTGCATACCAGAAACTCCGCGCAGCCCGAGAACCACGGGGAGCCAACCCTTGACTGCCATTGGGGCGACGCTGACACGCTGTCTGATAGCGCAAAGTAGGGTACGGTAAGACTGTGAACCGAATTGGACTTGATCCGCACGGCTTGATCCAAAATGGCTACGGAGGGGCCTCTTGGGCCGTCTTGGAGCGGTCTGGGAAGGGCGGGAAGCGGTGCTGTCAGAATGGAGGCGCCGGAGATGCTGCCGAAATACTTTGGGCAAGAAGCGGGGAAACGGAACGAGACGCGACTCCGAGACGAAACGCACGAGAGAAGGGCGAAAACGTGCTCTGGAAGAGCGCTTTTTGAGCACGCTGGGTGATGGCCCCCGGGTCAGCAGGTCGTCGACCACAAATCCCACCAGCCCTCTGGGCGTAGGTGGTTCCGGGAATTTCCTCTGCCACCCCTCCTTCTTCCCTTTGGGGAGGGTTCACCCCTCCCCCTAACCCCCTCCCCTGGACCTGGACGGGGGGGGCCGCTGGTAGTTAGAGCGTTCAAAACGGCCTCGGCGAGGAAGCCAAAATCATCGGTTTTACATAGGTTTTGGCCCCATTTTGGCCTCTTGGGGGGGCAGGGCTAATTAACTCCACCCTCTTCTTTGATCGATCGCTTCCAGGATGGCCCCAAAAGGCGCCCAGGAGGCCCCAAGAGGCTTCCAAGAGGCCTCCAAGAGGCCCCAAGAGGCCGCCACGAGGCCCCAAAAAACCCCCAAAAGGCTCCAAGAGGCTCCCAGGATGGTTCCAAGAGGCCTCCAAGAGGCTCCAAGAGGCCGCCATGAAGCTCCAAGAGACCCCCAAGAGGCCCCAAGATGCCTCCAACAGGCCCCCAAGAGCCCCCCAAGAGGATCCCAAGCGGCCTCAAAAGGCCCCCCCGAAGCACCCAAGACGCCCAAGAGCCCCCATTGACCGCCAAGAGACCCCCAAGACGCCCGAAGAGGCTTCCAAAAGGCTTCCAAGAGGCATCCGAGCGGCATTCAACCATCCACCCAGCGTCATCATTCTCCTCATCCCTCCTTCGCTCGGTTCCTCGCCACCCCCTCATCTATCCATCTGGCCTCCTGTTCCGCCTCATCCTTTGCACGGATCGGCTGTCCCTCTCGTTGCTCCCCCACTTCCCTGATCTCTTCAACTTGCCCGGACATCGTTTCTGGATGGGCTGGTGGGGATACTATATATATACACATATATATACATATATATATACATATATAAAGAAGAAAGATGAGAAAGAGAAAGAGAGGGAGGGGGAGCTTGAGGTTGAGAAGGAGTAGGATGCTGAGGAGGAGGAGGAGGGGCATCATAAACATGAGATGGTGAGATTGGATTGCAATGCGCCGCGAAAGACTGAAGTCGCTTCGCGCTGAAATGTTTGGATTGCAATCGACGGAATTGCGGTTTGCAACGTAGCAAACCATCATGAAGAAAAACAAGAGGAAGGAACGGGTTATGATGACTGGAGGGATGATGGGAGAATGTGTATGATCATGTGGGGGGGCGAGCATATATATATATATATATATATATATACACACGGCCGCAGGCGAACGCGCCAGCGGCGGGCGAAGTAGGTCGGGCCGCGACCGGCTTAAATTACCGACGGCTAACGATCGCGACTAGGCGGCCGCGGCGGCGCCGGATGCAGCAAGCAGCAACTGCGGCGAAGGTGAGGCTGATCCCAGGGAGAGCAGAACCCAGGGCAGAGCGGCAAGGGGACCCAGGGAAACCCAGGGAGCACCAAATTAGCCAAACCGGACACGCGCTGCCAAAATGGCGCGAAATCTGAAGAGGCGCCAGCCGAAGCGTCGCACACCGACAGATCAAGTAATGACCGCTCAAAGGTAGGTAAACCTGCGTCCCAGGAACAATCATGTGCACCGTGGTCCATGCATAGCATAGCAAGACCTGGGGATACATAGCAATGCAACCGAGCAGGATGGACCACACCCAAAGACTGGTGGGGATACGCGAGACGTCAAGATTTGGGATGGACGAGTACGCATAATACATTTATATATATGTGTATATATATATATATATATATATGAAATTATACTATCCCAGGGGGAAGCGATAAGTCCGGGGGGGGGGGGGTAGAGTCTATTATCTTTTTAGAAAGGAGCATCTACGTCGTGCAATCTATATTTTACAAGTTAGATTGTGCAATATTTGTGGGGCAGTCGATGTGCTGCAATCTACGTTAAGCAACCCACGTTGTTCAGCAACGGTGGCGCAACACACGTGAGGCAATATATGATGCGGTGCGCACTCTATGTTGTGCACCCGACGTGGTGCAACACGTGTGCTGTTGATTATGTGCAGACTGTATTGATATGATGGAACGTATGCGGTGCAGTCGACGCGTTGCAATTTATGTGGCCGGTCTATGTTGTGCAATCGCAGTGACAAAATGTGTGCGGAACAATCTGCGTGGCGCAATATACGCGGTGCAAGTTATAGTGAGAGGCCTACGTGGTGCAATTTATGTGGTGCAACTAATTTCTGTTCGCAGTGAGTTGTCCACTCCACTGCTCGCGCAAACATCCCACCCCCCCACCCGCAACTTGGTTTGCAAAATCTCTCAAGACCGTGACGGTGGGTACCACATGGCGCTTGGCAACAACAGCGACGCCGACGACGACAGCGACAACGACGATGACGACGCCGCCGACAACGACTACGACGACACCGACGACGTCTCCAACGACTTCGACGACGCCGACAACGACGACGACGACGACACCGACGACGACGACGACACGACGCCGACGACGACGACGATGACAACGACGACGACGATGACGACGCCGACGACGACGATAACGACGACACCGACGACGACGACGACGTCAACGACGCCGACGACGACGACGACGACGACGGCGGCGACGACGACGACGCCGACGTCGACGACGACGAAGACGACAACGACGCCGACGCCGACGACGACGACGAAGACGACGACGACGTCGCCAACGAAGACAACGAGGAAGGAGGGAGGACGACGACGGCGACAACGACGACAACGACGAGGGAGGAGGGAGGACGGCGACGACGCGAACGACGAAGAAGGAGGAAGGACGGCGACGCCGACGACGGCAACGACGAGGGAGGAGGGAAGACGACGACGACGACAACGACGACGACGACGACGAAATAGGAGGGACGACGACGAGACGCCGACGACGGACGACGACGACGACGAGGGAGGAGGAGGAAGGACGACCACGGCGACAACGACGACGGAAACGACCACGACGCCAACTAGGACGACGACGACGAACACGAGGAAAGACAGAGGACGACGTAGGCGACGACGACGACGACGACAACGACGCGGGAGGAGGGAGGACGGCGACGACGACGACGACGACGCAAGAGCGCGCGCGCACGCTTTTGTTGAAAATCCGTGTTGCGAAAACTGTGTTTTTGTACACTTTTGGACGCACGATTTTGAGATCCTTCCGGAACCGATGGGTTTTGAAGGTTTTTGGCATACGCCCGCGACGACGCGCGCGTCTGCACTTCGTCCCATGTTTTTGCAGAGGATTCTCGCGACGGCACACGCGCAAGGGCGTTCGACAGATTTCGACATGAGCGCGCGCGACGCCCGTTTGGTAGCATTTTGTGACAATCTTGAAAAACCCATGGTTCCCTTAAGATTTTGCAAGAGCTTTCGCGGAAGTTTGTTTAGCAACTCTGTGTTGCGAAACCCTGTGTTTTTGCATGTTTTTTGGAAACTCGATTGCGAAATCCTTCCCGCACCGAAGGTTTTTGAAGGATTTCGGCATGCGCGCGCGACGACGCGCGCGTGTGCACTTCGTCTCATTTTTCGCAAGGGATTTGTGAAAAGTGTTATGCTAGAACAAAAAAGTCACCGCATAGTGTTTTTTACAAGGGAACCTCAGGGGGGGGGAACCCGGCCTGGCCGGGATGGTATGATTTCATATTTAGGATGGACGAGTGGTCAGAATCATCTATGATTTACAGACCCGAAAGGGGAGCTGATAAGTCGGGGGGGGTAGAGTCTATTCTCCTTTTAGAAAAGAAGATTCACTCTGCTGAACTTGAAGTCGTCATCTCCACTGCTCGCGCAAACATCCCACCCACCCTCCCGCAACTTGGTTTGCAAAACCTGTTCAGACCGACTACGACGACACCGACGACAACGACTAGGACGACACCGACGACGTCTCCGACGACTTCGACGACGACAACGACGCCGACGCCGGCGACGACGAAGACGACGACGTCGACGCCAACGAAGGCGACGACGAGGGAGGAGGAAGG